GTTATGGTCTCATTGGGAATTATTAATGTTATCCCTGACTAATGAGTGTTGAGGATGATTTTTGTAATTCCTGGGTGGCAGGATAAAAATGAAGCAGAACACAYCATTTTCTTGGTGTGATTTATTTTAGAGTTTCCAAGTTTCTTGTATTGTGTTCAGAAACCGTGGCTCAAAATTTGAATTTTTATATAATTGCCTACAGATGTACTGTGTTGCTTCTTGAAATAGTACTTTTAATGATTTCTTCTATAAGAAATACGAACAGTGATTGTGGAAGTAATGCCACAAGAAGTTAGAACACCACAAAATACCAGAAAGTAGCTTGCATTTAAAAAATATTRGGTATTACAGGCATGTGTGGTTTGTGCAGGACTACCCCCAGTGGGCTGAGTCCTGGCTCAGACTCCCAGAGGAGGGGAGCTGCTTGTGCACTTTTACTTCATGGTATGGTTATAGGGAGACAGGAACATGGGAAGTCTGGGCTACAGAACTGGTGCTGAAATGCAGTGAATTAATGTAGGATCCATCTGTCATGTATTCTGTTACATTTCTGACTTCAAATGCAGTAAAATAAAAAGTGTGAAAAAGAGGATGGTTGGAAGGGCATGGCATCTTTTTGACATAGTTACTTGAATTTTGTAGATCTCCACTGTTGGRTTAGATTTAACTTCCTGCCACACTTTGCATGGGATCCAGAACTCAGGTTACCCCAGAAGGAATACAGTTCTGTACCTCTGTTTGAAAGTTAGTCATGGGAAAGAATCACTTGTTTAATTTTTATTTGCACATGGATTTATAAGGAAATACAGTATTCTTGTACTTGTCTGGATGGGTCTTTAGTGAGACTGAATGGAGCAGCTGGAAAAGCTGAGATAAGCCATATGTTGTTTCCTGTAGGTGTTTGTTTTTAACATCATTTTGTAGCAACTTGAAGAATCCAGCAGGTGGGTCTTAACCGAAATAAATATGTTGAAATTGTGTATAGTAGCACTAAACGGTGCTTTTGCTGAAAGAACGGTGTCATGAAGCTGAACAAATACAGAACCATTTTAAAAACGCTGCTATTACAGAATAGTCGCTTGAAGCCTTTCTGTTGAGACAGAAACTCATTTTTGTGTGAATCTGGGATGGTCAGTACTGCTCAGGTATAAATGGAAGCGACAACAGGAGGGCTCAGCCTAGTTTTACCCTGCTTGTGCCCTTGGCCAGGTCTAGGAACAGTAAGGCAGTGCATTAGCATTGCTACAGCTCATTGCAAGGGCTCTTCTAGATAAGAGTGTTGGAGGGAAGTTTAACCAGGTGCTCCACATTGCTCTAATCTCCGTRCAGTTAGACTCTCACAGAAGTGAGAAATGGGCTTGAATATCCACCACTGTGGACATCAGTCTGTGCCAGTATCCTAGAGGAATGCATCCAAAGAAGTCTAGAAAGAGCTGCACTTCCTACAAAAACCTTCCCTTTTTGTTACACCGTTGAGAATCTGGGCAGACACAATGGGAATTTCACTCCCACTTTCACCCCCACTACATCAGCCTTTGAGGTGGGGTAGGGGGTGAGGATCTGTGTCTATGTCTGCGTGTATTAAAACTCTCAGTGGAGTGCTGAGCATCCTCCTACCTCTTCCAGCTCAGATGGAACCATAGGGCTGACCAAAAAAGAGCAAATGAGCAGAAAGCTAGAGGTTTYAGGTAACCAATCTGTCTGAAAGTACATTTTGATTTTACCACATAAATGCCAGTGGGATTGCAGTAAGGGAGGCGTGGAACAACTCCACCCAATTAGGCACTTTCAACYCTTATCAACAAGAAAGAGGCTTAATCCATGAAACAGCAGYKAACAAGCCATAAGTTATGTCCAGGTGTAAGAAAGATAAATTACGTCTATGTAGAATTGCCTTGTTAAGGTTTCATGTTTCAGTGATCTCAGACCTTGGAGGAGATTAGTGAAGCTTGGGAAGAAGGATGTGCTATTGATAGCAGGTAGACAAAAAGAATGCAGAACTGTAAGGTCACAATGACATTTGGCAGAACTCCCGAGATAAGGAAGAAACTAATAAAGCCAACTCAGCAACTCTACTGAAACTGACTCTGGGTAAAAAGAATTCGAGCAGCAGGAAGAGATCATGATGAGGGGCTTGTGGCCCACCACAAGATGAAGACTGAGCGTGCAGACTAATTAGTGTAAGAACTGAGAGAATTGTTAACTGATATAAGATAGAAAATTCATTAATAAAAGAACTACAGCTATGCCCATGAACATGAATGCCTGTGATTGTGAATGTTGAGGAATACATCTGGTGCAGGTAGTTGGGTGCACAAGTGAATTCAAGCTGCAGATTGAGTTCTGGGTGGGAGCCCAGAGGGACACGAGAGGCCGTGAACTGCCAATCCTTTGATTAACAAAGGCACAAAGCTCGGTGAAACCAGCCAGCCCGAATGGACACTGGGAGACACAGCAGGAGCTGGGAATTGCAGGCATTTTGGATAACAAAAGAGAGGAAGGCCAGTGATGCCATCCGGGACAGGAGGACAGGACTAGAAAGGAAGAGCTACACTTGCACCTCGGTTGAAGTGAGGGTTTTAAAGTCCCCGGGGTTCCTTTCTTGGGGGTTCCTCCTCAGAGGAGCCACCTCGAGCTGTTTCTGTGTTACTGCACCAGGAATAAATGGCTTTATGGAACAAGACATCTGAGACATCTGAGACACCAAGGGAAACCTGGGGTCAGACCACCAGGGAAATCTGCTCTGACTGTAAGTGGGATTTGTGGTGATCAAGCGAGGCACTGAAGCCGCCTGCTGTGAAAGGGCTTCGGTCCCAGCTGTGAAAGTCTGGCACTGGGAGTGTGACTGCCAGACAGGCTCAAAAATGGTCCGACTGGGAAGTTTCCTAAACACCAAAATGTATAAATAGTAAAAAGGTTTGGTAGTTGGTGCACTTCATTTGTRGAATACCACTGAGCACCCAGGCTTGTGCCTATATTGAATAAATAATCAATGTCTCTTTTGAGTGAGTAATTACTGGCTTGCTGCACACTGGGTAATTAATCCGTTTTTTTTTTTTTTTCTGGACAACAAGCTGGTCAGAGCTATTATKTTCCTAATAAACCAAATAATGGCATGGAGCAGGTTCCTGAGGAGCTGGGATATACCCGGGCTGCAACCAGCGAGCAGTCACCCTCCGGATCGGACCAAAGCTCCCAGAAAAGCTGCCAGAGAGCCTCAGGCTGCACAGAGCTGTGCAGACCTGCACACCCTCCTCTTCCTCCATGCTGCAACCCAGCCTGGGTGACCCTCGCACATTAATTATGCAGATATCTGCAAGGGAACACGGTGCCAGACACCCACCAGACAAAACAACTGCGGAGGAAACTCCGCCAGCCTGCCCCTGGCTGGTCGTCGGACCATCGCACGGTGACACAGTTTCTTCATGCGGCAGCAAGGGCAGGAATTTTAGAGATACTCTGGACGCCACACAGCCACCCTCAGGCAGTGCTGGGCTTGGGGACAGTCCCCATCCCCGACCCTCCGCACAGGTGAGGGGACAAGGCAGGAGCAGCACGGCCAGGGAGCACCTGAGACCCGCCCCAGCGGGACCTTCCTGCAGCCTCTGAAACATCTGCACGGGCACATGAGCTCTGGCTCCGTAACATCAGTCCAGATGTGCTCACACCCAGCTGTGGCCTCRCCAATTGCTGCTTTTTTGGGAGCTGCACTTCGAACAGCAAGAATCCAGGCAACCTATTTCTAGGAATGGGGCAGCACAGACCTTTGTGCTTTGACTTCTCATTCCCCATGGATTTCCAGCTGCAAGGATGGCTCCGAGGGGTAGGAATGCCAGGTTTGTCTCTCAGGAGTGTTTTGAGGGTGGACTTTTTTTTTTTTTTTTTTTTTTTTTTTTTTTGTCTGTAAAATGCAATTTAATCCAGCACCCCCCTTCCTCGCAGACACTTTAGGAGATGATTCCCCGTGGGCAGCAGAGTTTACAGAGAAGCACGGGCTTCTGAAAGTGCGTCGTGTGGTCACTGTTGCTGCTTTATGACAAAGAGTGCAAGAGAAGTGCTGTGGGCCCGAGCCCAGCTGTCCCTAAGGAGCACTCTGGCTGATCCCAAAGGGAAGGGTTAACAGCAGCACACCGTGAGCCTGGGGCAGGCAGGAGCAGACGGCCACCCGCGGGGACACAGAGCCCGGCTCCGGCCCTGAGAGCTTGCAGGAGATGATGTCACCCAGATGTGCCTGTTTCCAATCTCCAGCTGCTGTAGGAGGCCCCATTACCAACTGTCTGAGCATTTCGGGCTGTTGGAAAATGTGCAGAAAGGGCCAACACTGTGAATCTGGACAGATCAGCATGCAAGCAGGCTTTTTGAATAACAGACTGAAAACCCGATGACCGCATAAATACCTGTGCTAAACTCATCAATTAAGAGCCTGTCAGGGCAGACTAAGGTTTGCAAATAGTTACAAATGCGTTTCGATAAAGTGCCCCAGGAACTACGGGTTGYACCAAAAACCAGACCCTCCTGGAGCCACCGTGGGACTGGGACTGGCATCAGCAAGGCTAAAAGCAAAAACCTTTGCTGCCTGTGCAAAGGCAAAAATGAGCATCAGAGGAGCCATACGTTAAGTGACAGTCCATGCAGGATCCCGTCACTGTGTCTGATGTGACAGGGGCTGTCWCTTCTCCTAGAAGACTTTTTGTCACACAGCACATAGTCTGGGGAGCCACTAACACTTGTAGGTGCTGGGCAAAGCACACGGCGTTCTCACCAGCAGCAGGSTCAGCTGGTAGATCTGTTCTGTAGCTACAAAAATTGCAACTCAGGCTTCCTCAAATTGGTAGATACTTATTAAATCACTGATTTTGATTCAGCTGCCATTCACCACTGTAATTCCAARACAGGGGTTTTAAGGAAATGACTGCTGAGGAGAATTAATTTGTTACTGCCCTGAGAAGAACACAGATATAAAACAAAAATAAAGTATGGTTCTAGCCTGTACTTAGTATCCGTGTTACTTATGTTCAAAAAGACCATGCAGGATCCAAATAGAGGAGGAGGCAGGGATGAAGAAAAGCATTTGAAACTTCACTTCCCTGAAATGCTCTGCTGAGAATTGGCAAGCACCCATGAGTACCTCAGTGACCCACACCTGAAGAACCAAGTGGTGCCACAGATGAAGATTTCAAGGTACTCAAACTCTTTTATTGTGCCTTGACTTTTAATTCAGAACACTTTMAGTACTCTCTGTGGCAGACCAAACCCAGTTGATAGATTATTTATATCACTAAATTGTCCTAAAAGTCTTGCACCCAGAACACCTGTTCCATGAGCCAGCTCTCCTCCCAAGTCCTACATGGTAGCCCAGACTCTTGGCTTACTCTCCTCCCTCTTGCACGCTCTAGGCTGGTACCCCACACTGCCAAAATCCCTCAGAGGGCAGATTTATGGTCTAAACACGACATATGTACAGCACCAGTAATTTATGTAGCTCTGAAACACTCAGCACTGAAATCACAGGCTGCCCACCTCCTTCCCTCAGCCAAACTCACAGCACACCAAGCAGGCTTTAACAGCTCCATATAGTGAGGAGGCATCTGCCAAGGGATTTCTTGCCAGCTTCTCCACTGGCCCTTTCTTGGCTCTCTCTCCTGTGGTCCTGTGTGTGGTTTGCTGTGGCACAGAGCAGTGCGGTCTTCCCTTTTGCTGTCTTACAYTGACATGCAGTGCATGACCACGCAGCTGATCCAAGGGGAGGTGGGAAGGCGATCAGCAGCCACTTCTGCTATCCCTGAGCCCCCTGCCCAGCCACTGTGGGGGGAAGATTGACTCCCTATCTGTGCCCCAGGAGACTCCAGAAGTTGGTGGGCAGCATGCTCAGGAACCCAGACTCATCTCGAGGATAACGTGCCCTGAGCTCAGGTGTTGGTGATCTGCTGCTGTAGCCAAAAGTTCTGCCAGCAGATATGGTACATTGCAAAAAGTGTGGGTTTCTGGGTTTCCACCCTCCATCATCTCCTCATGCCCATGTTGGCAAAATAAGGGGCCTGTGATAGATGAGAAATAAGCAGGGCAATGCCTGCTTACAAGAACTTGACCTTAGCTTACCCAGCAAGAGAGGCAGACAAAAAAGAATAAAAGAAGAAAAAGGAAAGGTGATCTTAATGCAGATTTAGCATATTGTCTCCTCCCAAATTCCATCTAAAGCTTGCTACCATCATTTGTCACTCTTCACTACTGTGATAGGGCACAGGGTGGGTGAGAAGAGCCAGTATGCTCAAGCTCTCTGACCAAATCATCTCTGTTGTRCACAAACTGCAGTGAGAAAGTTAGACAAGAGGAGTTCATTCCCAGTACTCAATACATCTAGTGGGGAGAGGGAAAGGAATTTGCTGTAAAAATGCTGCCTGTGCTGTCAGGACTGACCATGCAGGAGGGCCAGAAACAGGYGTGGAGGCTCCAGAGTAGCCCTTTAGGCAGATGTACCCCACAGTTCTCCATGTCAATTTGTTCATCTTCCAAGGAAACCCACTGCTGGGTAGCCTACAGAAATTTGCTGCAAGAGGCTAAGGAGCCCTGGGATGTGATCACAAGAGGTGCAATTCCTTCAGGCAAAGCCAATTTTTTATTGATAAAAGTTTCTCAAAACYGAGACCTTAAAAGGCAACAGGGCTGACTATGTAACTAAGTTTAAAAAGCAGATATATCCATATATCCATGTGAATACACATTTATATATATTCCTAGTATAGTTCTGTGTGAAGTGTAAAGTGCTAAGTAACAGAGAACCACAGTCCTCAACAATTGTGGACATCACCAAACTGTGCTCTAAGGTATTTAAACTTAGCTGGAATAAATGCAGTGGCAAACGGGAAACCAGTATTACCTCTAGGAAACGTCTCTGAACTTACCAATGAGACAGAAGGCATTGTCTGCAAAACTCATTGTGTGGGGGTTGGACTGGATTTATTCCACACAAGAGATCAGGATGGCCAATAATGAAGGTGCAATTTCAGGGATGAAAACAGAGTTTTTGTGGCATCTATMTGAACAGGAGATAAAGTAAGTACATCTGTTCTATGTTAAAATAGTGTAGTGAGATTCCCCTCAATACAAAAAGTAAATGAAGACAAAAATGAAAAAAAAATTGGAAATAGTTTATTTGCTGCATAAGGAAACCTCTTGTAAATTACATATAAAGAAACTTGTTATGCTGTAGTATATAATTTCCAATATTCCACAAAGATAATTGTAATAAATATACAAACCAAACCAAAGTAGAAGACTAAATCCATCAGGCAACCTACAAAATGGTTCATCAAGTTTTATACTTGCAGCATTAGCATGCTTAAAATCTTGTTCTTTTTGAAGTGATGCAGCAAAATTCTTTTCACATTTCTTTGGAGCATTTTCAAAGCTGTCTAACTATAAAATACTGTTCAAAATCAGATGGCATTAGTTAAACAACGCAAGAAAAGTAACACCAAGGTTTAACTGATGCAAAGGTGTTGTTTTTCTTTCTGTTTTTAAAATCCATTTAGCTTTGCCAGAGTTAGGAATTATCTGATATAAGTGCACCTATGAGTCCAGTCAGCCTGAGGCACTGCTGACTCTTGTCATATTATGACTCTATATAAACTTCATAGATTATATAGCTCTGAAAGATTTCTCTATCAATAGAGACATATCCCCATAGAATAAAAAAACACAATACCATATTGAAGCCGCAAGCTTGTTAAAATGGTTGTACCCTCAAGTGCAGTGTGTGCTTAAAACATTTTTCCATAGTTTGATTCTATCCCACATCAGGGCATTTTTATTTGACTTTAAATGTAGAAGTGCTGATAAAGGCTTCACTGATGCCCCTAGCCTCTAGAAACAACATGTAGAATTTTTTAACACCTCCTGCTGTTCTCTACCTATCATTTCTAATTTTTTTTGGAACAGCAGGCTGAATTTACACTTCATTGCTCTGGACCACACTGACAGACAGGTCTACWATTCCGTACAAATCTCATACAAACTGAAAACACTTCACTATGCTTCACTATTACTGAATACTTGGGGGTATAAAAAGAAACTCTCTAAGACACAATTACCTAAAAATATTTGTTAATAAGCTTAATGCAAATATCATGTAGAAAAAATGGTTTCGTTACAAAAAAATTCATTAGAGGGCCAGTAAAAATATACTGAAGAGAAGATCTTTACAAAAGTGAGGTTAGGAAGTATGAGGCATTGACATTCACTGTAAACATCCTGTGTTCACTAGAATCCCTTGTCTAAAGTATATGTCCTGGTTTTGTTCCTGAGCTTCATGGCCAACGCTTGCATAGACTGCTAAACCTATCCTAAAGGGYTGTTTATATGGACAGTTCTGTTTGTACATAACTTCAATAAACTAACGCTTTTACCTTTTGAAATAATATCATTCCACCACCAGGTATTTAAGGAAACTATGAAGTATGGCATGGTTTTTATGTACTCAGTGCATTGGGTGAACTGGGGCAGCTACTTTTTAGTGTGCTAATCTTAAATAATATTACACCAYGAAGTGCAGCTGTTTGACCTTCTGGCTTAGCATAAATATCTACTCCTGCTCGCCGCTGCAAGGTCCAGGTCTGTTTTGCCAAGGACTGCATGAGGAAAAACATCAGCAATCTGAGTGCTACAGCATCCAACACACCCAGCAACGAGATGCAGCTTTTCAGCACARAAGACCCCACAGAGAATTTCACCTTTACCCAGGCAACACCAGTGCCTTCCTCCAGGTTAACCTGCTGCTGTTGGAGGAAGCTGGAAAAGTACTCACAGGGTAAACACGACATGGAGTGGCCTGTGTGAAGAGTCTGAAGAACACATTTGCATTTTGGGCATGAGAAGCAGGCATGTGTTTAGCTACTGCACATGGAAATGCACATGGAAGTGGTACAGACAGACAAATATATCCCCCTCACAAATAGCACAAAAACACAAAAGCAGCAAATTGCCRATTTTAAATCTTATGTTAAGGCAAATCTAGATAAACAACCGTAACAGGATTAATAAAAATAGGGAGTTTTCATTGGCTTTTTTTTGTTTACTTTTTCTGTGATTGGCTTTTACACATTGATAAAATTTGTTTAAGCACTTTCTGGACATCTTCATCCATTTGACCCTAGACAAAGGGAAAGAGAAAAAAARATGATTGAATTCATGCAGCTCTACTCTTTAAGAATATTGGGAGGGATTTCTTAGTTAAAACATGCAAAGTTGTTACTAGACCTGCAGAAGAAACATCTTCACGTGAAATGCTAACACTGTGTGACTGACAACATGCAACCATACCTGCACWGCATAGAGGAGATGCATCCTGTAAACTGAGACAATTTCCTGGTGTTGTTTTTTAGTTTCCTGGAAAACAGTTAAGCAGAAAAGCACAGAGCATTCAGAACTATTGAACTGAGAACTACCCAACTAAATTCAGACTGGAAAAATTACAAACCAYAGTCTTATGCAAGGCATTGAAAACAGCTCAGACAGTGTTGTGCCACCAGAYACTCTAAATTTGCTTGGAAGCATGTCCAGGGAAATGCTGTGGTCCTACCTATCCCAGTAAAAGAGCTGGTGAGATCAGTTTCAAGAGCTGCTGAGCTGCAAAGAGTAGAATGAGCACATACTCTGTCTCCAGGCTTATCAGCAATCAGAACTGAGGAAAGCCAACAGTTCTCTGACAAATTAAGTTTCAGCTGCAGCTCAGCTCTTCCCTGAAGGCAGTGACCCATCTGTCACCCATTTTCTGCTTTATATTTCCTGCTGGTGCCTTCCCAGGGCAGAGGAGGTGCTTATGAAGCTCTTACCCTGTAAGACCCTGAGTTAACAAAAACCAACCTCCTTTTCAGTGATCACAGACTGCCACAACCCAGAAGCCACCTTTCCAAAAAAACATGGAGCTGTTAGGAAAGCTGACCAAGAAGGAACAAGTGGCTCTGTAAATCCTGTCATCTGCTTTTCTTATGTGCAGCACACTTTTGCACTTTACACTACTTTGCTGGTCCTTAATCATGGGAGATGAAGGGTCCTTTCAGTCATGGAGAGCATGGAAAGTTTGGGCCTTCACACTGACAGGATGCTCTGCCWTCTATTTCTCTCAGCTGCAAGGGAATTTTTCTGGTACGCTGGGCCCTTTTTCTTTCTGCTGGGAAAGGTAGGAAGCAGCCAACACTTAGATGTCAGTCTGGAAATTCTCCTTTCAGAGTCACTCCAGAGCCCCCAACAAAGGCCTCCAGTGGGCAATACTTTCTTTTCATCCTCAACAGTGAATTAAAGTGTTCCTTCAGGAAGACAAACTCCAGAAAATATCAATTATGATTCAACCCAGCTTAGAAGATTGGACCTTTCATGCACAAAAAATACAATAAAAAAAATCTGAAAGGCATTCAGAATTTCAGAATATAAACTGTGGTCTCCATAAACAGATGCACTTGCTTGATTTGGAACATCATGCTTTCTTCCTAAAAGCTTAAAAACCCAAAACAACTTCAGCTTATGAATGTTCTTGAAAATCCCCTGCACACTGATCATACTTTTCCACAAACTAAGGTCTGAGCAGCAGGTTTGGTCATTACATTCTACCACAAGTACCTGAAATCTGTTCCTCTACTGGTCTGAGAAAATATGTGGAAAACTAGCTTTCTTTAGTTAGGCTCTTGCTAAAGTGCTATTCATAACTTGCAGATTCCAGGATGTTTCAGAGAAACAGAAATTACAGAATTTCTGGATGAAAATTCCTTCAGTTGTATCCACTGACWGCACTAAGGCAGAGCGAAGAATAGCTCGTGTTTCTTTGGAGAACTGGGACCAATGTTATGTTTACAAATTATCASACTTACAGTCAGTTGGTTTTGCAACTGCTTCACTTGTTGCTGCAGCACCTCCAGCTGTTGGCTTTGTCTTTTGGGGGCACTGGTTGAGTAGGAGAGCTGAGAAAGGCTGTTCAACGCTTCTTTCAATTTGCTAATTTCCTTGGACATTTCATTGATCTAGGGAGGCAAAAAGCAGGTGTTCATTAAAAGATGCTATACATGCTGTATTCTCGTGTGTCTCATCTTTGAGTTAGTTGTTACTTGAATTTAAGTGAGGAAAACCCAATTGTAAATAAACTCTACGGACAAACAGAGATGTCATGTAAGCAAAGAGTTATAATTCTTCTCTATTCCCCATCCTAGTCCAGTCTATTCAAACTGCACTCCTTGTTCTGAACATCAGCAATATTTAACAAGAAGGGCTGCATTTACCATCTCTACAAATTCTGCAGCAGAACCAAACTCAGGGCAGCTATTCACAGCTGCCCAAATGCWTAGCTCTTTGTAAAGAAATTTTAATGACAGATATGGTGCATAGGAAAATTAGTCAAATCATGTTGTGGTTCAGATGATGTAGTAATATCACAACAGTGAATTTTCACTCCTTCCTGTTATTTTGTTTTCTTGCCTYCCCTGGAACCTCTTCCTGCTGTAAATCTCACTCCTTTGACTTCAGCAGCCTGAAAAGTGTGAACCCAACCCAAGCAGAACTTAAAGGGTATAAATTGAAATTTCATGTGTATCTCCAAAGGGGAGGGAAACCAACTGCCAAACAYTCTGAAAACTCCTTTGACTTGGATACTTGCATTTTCAGAGGGGCAAATGCACTCAGAAGTTACCTGAACCAACATTTTCTAATATTTCTATATTACATTATCACTCATGCACTAGCCAACATGCTATGCACTCTGAACTCACACTACCCCTCCACTCTGGGGTGTCACTGACCTTTTTATCTTTATCTTCTTCTAGTTTTGATGAGTTTTTCATCTCAATAAGAGCTTCTTGAACTTGATGGTACTTGTGTTGAAGATCAGYCACCTCCCGTTCCTTTGCTTCAAGCAGACTATGCATACCTTCTTTTGCTTCTTTCAAGTGCAAGATTTCATTTCTCAGTCTCATGGCATCTAAGGAAATATTTTCTTTCTCTCGGATTACATCCTTCAGTTTGGATGACATAGCACTGAYTTCACCCTCTAGTGAGGACTGGAGCTTTTCATACGTGGCCTTGGGTACCATTGCTTCATTAATTGCAGCTTTTTCTTCCAGTAAYGCCTTTTCCAAGTTTCTTAATTCACTTTCCTTGTTGCTAAGCAGTCGTTTGAGCTCATTTATTTCTTCTTCCATCTCCTTTATGGTATTTCTGAGTGCATTTATCACCTGACGGTGTTCAGTAATTGGCAAAGAATTTTGTTTCTGAGTGTCTAACAGTTGCTTGAGCTCTTCTGCTTCATCTAACACTTTTGTGTACTGGGATTTCATTTTAGATAACTCATTTTCTGCTTTATATTTCAAAGAATTTGTCACCTCCATCAGTTTCTCATGTTCATCTCTAGGAATGTAGTCTGAAGCTATATCATCTAGAGTTTTTTTCTTCCTGTAGTCTTCAAGCTCTGCCTGTGCCTCTTTGTACAACTGAGACAATTCACTAAGTTGTCTGTTGAGCTCATCTATCGTTCTGTGCATTGCATCTTTCTTCTCTCCAGCTTCAGCACTAGATTCCAACTGCATCTGATTTGCCAGCTTGTCCTGTAGCCTTTTAATTTCCTCTTGCCCTTCCTTGTACCTCTCAATCAGCAATGCTTTCTCTTGATTAATGTTATCAATAACCAAACAATATGAATTCTTCATTTCCTCACACTCTTCCACAGACAATTTGCCTGCCATGTTCTGCTCTCTGTCTTCAAACTTYTTCTGTAGCTCTCTCACTTTTTCTTTTTGTCTTTCACTTTCCTCCAATGCTTTCTTCAATTCTTGCTTAAGTGCTTCAACTTCTCCATATGTAACCTTCAGCATACTCACATCAGAACTGGTTTCTTCACTTTCAGAGGAAACAAGACCTGACTTCTTTTGCCTTTGTGCATTCAAAACCTCTTTCACAGCTTCCTCATACCTGTTTTGAGTTTCTTGGAACCTCAGATTAAGATCAGAACCATTTTCTGAAATATCTGGGCTATTTAATTTATCTGTTTCTGGGACTCTAGACTGGACTTGAGTTTCTACATGCTTTCTTTTGGCTTCRGAATACTCTGATTTTCTCTGCACATCGTTTAAGTCTTCATGGAAGTACTTCATTTTTATTTCTCTGGGGCTTGCCATCTTCTCTTGGATTTGAGTGGAATTTAAGGTAGGCTTCAGCTCATGCACCAAGAACTCATTTGATCTCTCTGCTGTTTGCTCAAACACTGTTTGGGTTGAATAAGATTCTATAGTTGAATCCCCTTCCTTAGGTGCTCTTTCCTGTCCAAAAAACCCACCAAGAATTGCACAATGAAAACAAGTACACGACTATTTTTTTAGAATAGAGTAAGCAAGGAAGTATTGCCACATCCTACAGAGATAGATGATTAAAGAACCATGGAAGAAAGTTTTAGAACAATTCAAAACCCAGCTGCTCCCATTTAGTCATCTACAGTGAGAGAAGGCATTAAGTGCCAAGCTCCTCTGAAAGTCTGGGCTGAGCTCCATAAGCTAATAATCAAAGCTATGCAAATTAAAAATCTGTTAGCATAACTGTCAACAACATATTTTAGAATGTGGTTATCATAATAAACAAAGTTAYTCAGTAACTTATAGGAAAACTGAGAAGATCAAAACACTGATTTAATCCTTTGGGGCAGAGTGTTTCCATGATCTTACCAACAAGCTCGTTAAATGACCTTCACAGGACATCTCTTTAAAACAGTAAGCAGCCCTTTGTTCTGCCTGGCAGATTAAGAGAACACCAGAACAGCACAAAAATATGGCACCTGTAATTTGTCCTGCAGCTCCTTATTGTGCAACGTCAAAGAGGCAATTTTTGCTTGCATCAACAGAAGTAGATCTTGTTGGTCAGCTTCAGAACTCACATCCAACAAACTATCAGCACCTTTGGAGAAAAAARATTCAAAAGCTTTCACAAAGCTGAAATGCCAGCTAGTTAGTAATTCTAAGATTTCAAATTAAACATGTTTGTTCCCATGACCATTAAATGCAGTGAGCAAGCAAAAACTGTAAAATCCCCAAGAATGAGTTAAGTGCATGGAATAAAAGCAAGACACTTTGTTGGGGAGCTGCTTGTGGAATTACAAAGCATTCCTCTCAATACTTATGGTGTCTCATGTTCTAAGGGGAAAAGTACAGAGGATTTCAACACTTCATGCMCCCTAAAAAGCCTAAAAGGTGAAATAAGGATTTATTGTATACCTGTTGTGCTGTCACTSAGCCTGTCTTTATTATCTCTATGCAAGGAGCTGAATTCTTCCTGCCAAGACATCAAAAGAAAACATTTTCACAGAAAGTAGATGTAAAGCTGGACAGTTCACCAAGATGAGCTACAGACAGCATAGATTCTSCTGGATAAAGCCTGTCCAAGTGGATGTCATCAGTTTCTTGGTTTTTTGCAGCATGTGTCCAGTATTTCAAAGCCTGCTAAAGCCCTTCGAGTTCCATTGCTCAATTCCCATTAAATACTAATGAAATACAGGCAACTATCTTGCAAATTGTTTGGACCATTGCAGACTCTGTGACAACTAATAGCAATATAGTGACATGCTTAAAAAAAAATTCCTCAGCAATGTGAGGTAAAGATCAGATAGAGCACACAACCTTTTCACTGATGTGTTCTAGTAAAAGGGTCTCTTTTTGCACTGCCTAATTTCATGCACTTTGCTGGTATTAGAAATGAGCTCTTGGAGCATTAATACTAACTTTCAAATACTAACTTTCAAATACTAACTTTCAAATACTAACTATACTCTCAAACACTAATCTATTTATATGTACATGTTCGTTACACATCAAAGTAATCCTTACACTTGTTTTATAAATTGCACTGAAATAGATTTGGATTCATTTTTGCTCCCAAAGGTCAGCTAATTAAGTCACAGGAGACTGCAGTCATCAAAAGAGAACGTTAATTAAAACAGACCCTGCTCTTTCCTTCCCCAAGCTCATAAGAATGAAACACTGATACCTTGCACACTTGWTCAGCAAAGAAAGCCTGCCCTTTTCCAGTCATGGGAGTTGAAGTTGATGAGTGTGGAGAGGACAAATCATTAATCTGTAAAAAATTTATATAAATAGGTATGTATACGTACATGCACATGAAGCTACCTCTCTAACATGTGCCTATATATGCATATATATGTATTTATATATATATGGACACACACACATTGAAAAATACTTTCACCTGCACTAACATAAATCACAATTCAAGATTAGTTTCAGAGAACAGACCTAACTATTTACTGCCCTTCTTGGTGCGTATGACATAAGGAGTGTAGCTGCTGCACAGGCAATATTCTAGTTTAAGATTAAACCTAACTATTAAAYAGATTTATATGGTATCAAAATGCAGCTTAACTATTTTATTTTCATGCATTTATGCATATAATAATATGTATCCATATACATACATAACTGAAACACAATGAACTATTTCAGTGAAATCAGCAGAAAGGACAACTTCAAACGTAGCTGGAAGAAGCATCTGTACTGTAAAATTTGTACAGTTGTATCTTAGACCATGCTGTATTTTAAGCAATTTTGTTCTTTTGTGGAGCCATCCTAATGTAAGGAAAAGCACTCATAGTAAGATAGGCATATAAAATAAYGGTGACAGAGAAAATCCAGCCCACATAATTCTAATAATGTTCAAAATGCTTTACATCCCCTAAAAGCATCTCAAAATTGGTCTTTTCTTTACCTGAATAGGACTGATAGGAGGAGGTGGGGCTTTGCGTTTTTTTGGAGTTCCACTTCTTTCTGAACTTAATTTAGAGCCTTGATCATGCTGAAAGTTTCACCAGCCAGAAAAGGTAGGTTTGTTAGTTTGGTTAGTAAAGTCTGAGCAAGTTGTTTTATTTAAAAAAAAAACAAACAAAAACCAAAAAAAAACCCCACATTAATATCAACTTTAGCAGCTCATGCATGCCCTTTTCCCCTATGAAAAGAAAACATCTCTACCAACACAGAGATATTAAACATGCCTGACAATAAGAATCTGCTCCCTTGTAATCCATGCTTCAGTGAAAACAAACAGGATTTAGTGAAAAAGCAGAAGCTGACAATAAGTTTAGCACCAGTKACCTTAAAACACTTCCATTCACACACAGCCCAGTCGTGCCATTCCTTCACAGTTGCCACCTTTTCTCTCCACCAGCCTCTGCCTGAGCCCCCCGAAAAACCCAGCTCTGCACTCAGAGAAGGAATGAACCAACTGCASCCTTGACTTCCCAGCCACCAGCACGTCTACAAGGTCTGCTTGCACTCCAAGATATGACAMTAAACAAAAAATGCAAGAAACTAATTGAATCGCCTCAATATGCCAGGATTCACACAGGAAGGGGTCTCCAGCAACCAGGGATAACCTTCAATTGCATGTTTTAGAAGCAGAGAATTTTTCTAGATTGTCTTTTCTGCAGTTTAAAGAGACAGGTGTCCAAAAGCCAAGCTCCTGCACTACACATGAGGAAAGCAGGAATTGTCCCAGCACACATTCACATACACACTCGCCCTCCCTTCCTCCTCTCACCAAGAGTGCTGGCTGCTGAGACACAGAGAAGCCAAATAAAAAAGTAATGTTCCTGAAATACATCTCTTAGCTAACCCTTTTACATTACACAGTAGTCATGGCAACCCATCTCACAGTGACATTTACTAGTGCTTCCAGTTTCTGTTTTTTCTTGTGTTACAAGTCTAGAGAGTCAGAGTATCTTCAAAACCAAAAGGATAAATACCTGCTTCATTTTTGTTGGAGACTTTGCATCTGTGGAGCAGGAAAGAAGTGAAATAAAGAAAAATTATCAAAGGAATGGTTATTTGCCTTTCTTAACCCACCTCTCCATTCTACTTCCCATACCCTAGATAAATGGTTTGATTTYTGAATTCCTGCCTGAAACCTGAGAAATATAATTTGCAAATTCCATTTCAATCACATCCTTTATCTGCTACTGTCTGGTTTCACATTGAGATAAAATCTGAAGAATCATGACAATGGTTATTCTATTATAGTTTCTCACCATTCTTATGCATTAAACTTCCTACTTTAGAAATCCTTTGTAGTTTGACCACAAAACCCTCTGTCTGCTTTAGTTCTTTCTCCAGCCCCTCTATTGAGGGGTTCTAGGTATGAGAATTTATTCCACATTGTATGCAAAACTTCACAATGCTCCTACATCAACTTTTCTTTTTTTTTCTTCAAAACACCTCCTTTAGGCCTGCTCAGGGCTTTATCCCATGCTAAATATTACCACCTATGGCAAAGAGTCTTTGGGATGTCTCAGCCAGATGATCTTGTAAATGGCTTTTGCAACATTTCAGGCGACACTTGGAATTAAATTTGTGCAGTGCTGAACATACATGTAGCCTGTTCAAGAACTGAGAAACAGTAGCCTCTGTCACGTACCCACATCCTGCAATAACTTTGATGACAGGAGGTTCTGGATCCCTGTGTTCTCGGAGAGCTTGGCGTAATGCAGGGCATTCTGTCCGAAGACATCCACTAAACTGACATCTGCACCTTTCCTGAGGAAAGCCTCCACCATGTTCAGGTTACTCGCTTCACAAGCCATCATCAAACCAGTTCTGAACAAGAGAAAAAAAAAGAAAGCAAAACACAGAGAGCAAGTGTCAAGGCATACTCTTTGAGCAGCTCATCTTTTCTGGGGAAAGAAGTGTGTCAGCAATTGTGTCCAGAATTTTATCAATGGTACATATTTTATTGGTGCATTGGTACACAAATGCAACTGGTTACAAACACCTGCCAGCCCCTCCTCTTCTTCCTCTTCCTCATAGGCTCCAGCTGCAAATACAGCTCTGCAAACATTTCTAGAAACGGCTTCTCAAGGCTGAGAGGAGAGTCATAGACAGAAACAGCTGTAGGATAAAACTGGACTAACAAACCTCACTGCTATGCTGTGATTACAGGGGTGGTACAACATGAAAGCCTTTATTTCATTGCTGCTTTCCTTCAAGTGCTATGTTTGAGACAAAACAAACAGATTTCAATCAAAAAGACAAACAAGTCTAAGAGCTCTTCAGTAAGTCCAAGAGATGAGTTTGACCTCAAACCCTGTATTATTATCAGCTGAAAAAAAAAAAAAAAGGAAAAAGGTTCATGAGAGCACAAACAACTCCCTTTCCAACACAGGGCAGCAGAACAGAGACAGCTTCTAGATCAAGGATATTCAACAGAAGCAGTCTTTTCCTAACAGGATGYATCTCCTTTTCTCAATTATTTGAAGGTGTCATAAGAGACATACAGAATAATTATAGAAAAATACACGGAAAACATCAYCTTTGAAGCATGCTCTAATGCTGCCTTCCTGCTTGGGCATAACTCTCCTTTCTCAGCATGAAAACATGTCTGATGGGTTGGCAAAGTTTACTGCCAAACACATTCCTCAGTGCAGATATGAAGTAGGAAAGTTACTGCGGTGATAATATTTGCTAAATATTAAGATAATAATTTCATTAACGAATTAAACATACTCCCAGTAATGGGTGAGCCTTGGAAAAGTGATGCTGCTGCAATGCTGTTCTAAAAGCAGCAGGCAGAGATAACTTGGATCATACCACCAGAGTCACAGGGATGGTTTTTAGATTACCAAAATAATTCACTTAGKCTGGATACAATAGGAATCTAGACATGGCATTTTCAAAGGTTATCCCCTTCTCCTCCCAGTAAGATTTCTCCTGTTTCAGTAAAATCTTAATTACTTTTGTTGAACATGAGATGCAGGACTAACTCCCCTCACCACAATGAAAGCAAGAAGTAAGCCAGCATATTCCATGTGGTTTTTTGCATTTTGTTACTTCTACACACATTAACTATCTTAAAAAAAAAAGACAAACAAACAAAAATGGGAGTCCTATCTGTGGCAGAAAGTCCTCCAAAGCAGAAGGTCTTAACACTGTCTGCTGATTAAACATGAGGAGAGTGAGGGGAAGGCAGAGGTGCCAGGGAGTGCAGCACCTCAGGTTCAAAGCACCGACGAGGCCCTGAAAACTGACAGAAAACAAAGGGGTTTTCTTCAGGCAACTGAAAACAAAGAGCACACTAATGAACTTTGTACTGATAAAAAACAAGTTAGGGCTCAGTCTTACACCCAGGTGSTGCCAGAGAACAGTATCAGCATTGTGACACCCAGAATAATCAAAATTGCTATGAAGCGTAAGTGCCAAGCCTTCCCAGTATCCTGCTTTACCTTCAGTTTACCCAACTGTTTATGAAACAGTCCACAATTTTCCAAGGCTTTAGATCTTTGTCAGTATCACTAGAACAAGTGCATTTTTCACTACAAGGATGTTGCTTTTCAAAAACAGTTTTCTGATCCATTCACTATCCATAAATGCAAAAAAATCTCTAATTGTCACTTCTAAAACAACATCATTCTCCACTGTAGAGCATTACTGTATTTTTTTCTTGCATGATGGCAGAAAAAACAATCCTCTACAGGTTTTGGACCCAAGTAGCAGTTTTAAGGATTTAGGTTGGAGGTATTAACTCAAACCAAGAAGAGAGCAGCATTTYAAACTGTGACACTTAGAAAGTGATGTGTGGGTAAGTGCCATCAATCAGATTCACACAGGAATAATTTTAAAATGGGATATACTGCTCTGGTAGCCCAAGGGAAAATCTTACAGGCACATAGTTTTATAGTTACATAATTTCTGTTTCATCTTTTGCTTCAGTCAGAAKTCTGTAAGCCTTCCCAGCAATCAGGACATTCTGTCTAATACAGAAAGCATTATTTCACCTAACATCAACAATTTTGGGACAGATTTGAGAAGATAGCTTCATTTGACAGTCAGCTTTGGGAAAGTATCAACACGTTAATCTGCTGTACCTTCCATTTTTATCCCTGGTGTTGATGTCTGCTCCATGATCCAGAAGGTATTTGCAGATTTCCACATGACCATGCTGTACKGCAAGCAGCAGGGGTATGTTCCCATCCTAGAAATGCACATAAAGAAACTGAATTATATTCCATCCASCTACAATAACACACTGAGATTCAATGTTAGCTACAAATTTCAGCTTTACATAGCAAAAATGAGGTGCTATCAGTACATTTTTCTTGTGCACCATAAATATAGCTGAGTGTGCTATAATTTCTTTCTTGTCTGCTGGGGATGATGTAAAACACAGGGAGTGGGAATGCTTTTTCCTTCTGTAGTCCCTTTGCTGACTGCTCAATGCTAAAACAATGATTTTGAAACCACAAACATCTCGGTAACTGCACAACAAAAACGATAATTTTAACCAAGTACAAGGCAAAAATACAACACTTCATCAAGTCATAGAGTAACACAGTCAGAAGACACCTTTAGAGGTATTTGGGATTTCTCCCACTTGTTCCTCAATCCAAAGCTAGGCAAGTTGGAGTACACTGCTCAGAGACTTGTCTAGTCACATTTTAAGCATCTCCAAAGGTAAAGACACAGCTCTGGGTACCARTTCCAGTGTTTGACCACCTTGAAGGTGAGGCTATTGTTTTCCTAGTACCTAACTGGAACTTCCCAGTTAGGTCCACTACCCAAATCCTGACTGTTGCTTATCATTTTGCCATGCACTGCTGAGGTTGGTGTCTCTTTCCTTTGACCAACCATGATGTAGCTGAGGGCTTTTTAAAGATACTTTTAGAGCCTTCTCTTCTATGCCTTTGAAATGCATCTGGTGAATCAGATGTCAGTGACACATTTATTTTCATTAGAAGGACCAGAAAAGGAGATAGATCAAAACTGAAAACAAACAGACAAGCTTGGGTATCTTTATGCCATCCTGCCTGGCCTGTGCTCTGCAGATTCTGTCCCTTTATCATTATCAGGTTTTCTTTAAGGCAGTTGCATCATTCCCAAAATCAGACCTGGCTGGATGTAGACATTTCACAGGTGTGAATGCAGTGTCTCTGAGCCTTTGGAAAATGTCAGGTATACTTTTCCCCCTTGGGCTTATCATACTCGGATTGGGCTTTGTAAGCATTCTGCAGCCTTTGGACACATACTTTTACAAAGCCTCCTGGAGACGATGGAAATACTTTTAATTGTCTTTGGAATGCGTAAGAATTGATTCCAGCTACTTGTGCCAATTGATCAGCAAATCCCACCACCATGGTATCACATTGTGAAGCGCTTCCACACCTCTGTGATGACAAGCTGCAAAGGGAAATTCCTTCAGCAGAGAAATGCAGGAAGATACATGAGCACAGCATTGCTCTGAACTACTGCACCTGAGATGGAGGGAGAGCAACTGCATGGAACAAGGCTGATAAAAGCTTTGAAGTATCTGCAGTACAGGTGAAGAGATACATACCAGATCCTTGACATTAATGGGACACTTGTGCTCACACAGAAGTTGAACTGCCTGAAGACACCCACATGCAGCTAAAAAAAAAGAAAAAAATTAAATTAAAAAAACAAGATGAACATGAAAGTCCAGTAAACCCCAATTTCAAAAATTGTGTCACACACTTCCACTTGCAATACTGCAGCATTACCAAAACCAAATTTTAGGCTGAAGAGCTAGGAATATCAAGCACAACAAGACAGTACAAACTTCCATCAAAGAACTTACCTGCATAATGTAAAGCTGTTTTCCCAGAATTGTCAGTGCAATCTGCTGGACATTTACTCTGCACAATTCAATAAGGAGAAGGAAAAAAGAAAAAAAAAGCAATTAGAGAACTACAAAGAAAATAAAACATGGATCTGATAGTGACAGAACACTTAGCATCGTTGTGAAAAGTTTTATGTGCTGCTTCAGAAAGAACACTGAAGGAAGGTACACCTTCCCTCACTGCCAATCTGTTTTTTTCCTCTCTGGTACCAGCTTATATGGAAGCCACAGGAAACTCTCATGGTCAAGAGAGCTGTCCCTAAAAAATGTTATAGTTTCAGAATAATTCAAATCAGTAAATAAAAACGGAAGAAAACTCTCTCCTTTGCCTCAGAATTTATTTTTTTTTAATACTGAGTAAAAGCTAAAGCAACCATGTCCTAAGGCAATTTTTCCTGCATTATTTCACAGAAGTGTAGCATGGTTTGGATTAGAATAGACCTTAAAGATCATCCTGTTCCAACTCCCTGCCTTGGGCAGGGACACCTTCCATCAGACCAGGCTGCTCCAAGCCCCATCCAGCCTGGCCTTGARCACTGCCAGGGGTGGGGCATCCACAGCTTCTCTGGGCAGCCTGTGCCAGAGCCTCAGCACCCTCACAATGAGGAATTTTTTCCTGATACCTGATCTAAACCCCTCCTTCAGTTTGAAGCCACTGCCACTTGTCCTGTCACTACATGTCCACGTAAAAAGTTCCTCTCCAGCTTTCTTGTGCGGCCCTTTTAGGTACTGAAAAGCAGCTCTAAGGTTTCATGGGAGCCTTCTCAAGGAACAACACAGTCTCGGCCTTTCCTCACAGCAGAGGTGCTCCATCCCTCTGATCATTGTGGTGTCCCTCCTCTGTACTCACTCCAGCAGGTCCCTGTCCCTCCTGTGCAGGGTCCCCAGGGCTGGATGCTCCAGGTGGGTCTCAGCAGAGCGGAGCAGAGGGGCAGAATCCCCTCCCTCCCCTGCTGCCCACGGTGCTCTGGGTGCAGCCCAGGACACGTTTGGCTCTCTGGGCTGKGAGTGCCATGGCCGGGGCATGTCCAGCCTCTCACCCCCAGCACCCCCGAGTCCTTCWGGGCAGGGCTGCTCTYGGTCTGTTCGTGCCCAGCYTGGGCTGATCCCGGGACACCCCGGGGACCCCCTGACCCAGGGGCACCTACAGAACTTGGCCTTGTTAAAATTCATGAGATTCCCATGGGCCACGTCAAATGCAATAGAAGCTCATTTGCACTTTTAAAAATAAAGCAACAACAATGCAGTTATATCTTGTATTACAATTATCAGATGCTACTGATCAATCTAGACTTCAAAGCAATAAATAATAATGAAAAAATAATTCAAATCCTTATCAAGCCTTGTTTTGGTGCAGAAGATTTTTGTTTTAGTTACATTAAAGAGAGAGTATCATAGAAACTTAGATTCATTTGGGTTAGAAATAACCACAAAGATCATAAAATTAAGTTATTAACCCAGCACTGCCAAGTTCACCACTAAAACATGTCCCACATCTACACATCCCTTAAATCCCTCCAGGGCTGATGACTCCACCACTTCCCTGAGCAGCCTCTTTCAATGCTTCTGGTGAAGAAATCTTCCTAATATCCAATTTAACCTCCCTGGGCACAACTTGAGGCCATTTCCTCTTTTCTCACTGAGATATGATCTACCCTGAGTCTCCTTTTGTCCAGGCTAAACACCGCCGTCTCTCTCAGCTGCTCCTCACAGGACTGGCTCTCTAAACTCTTCACCAGCATCAATGCTTTTCTTTGGACTGGTGAAGACCCTGAAATCACACTTTTCTAATAAACAAACATTACAACTTTTGACTTCCACATGCAGCACTGTCTCCAACATGCCTGATTATCCAAGCAAACAGGAACACACGGATCACTACATTCTGTAACAAAACTGCCAAGATTCCACCTGTGTAATGTAATTATTTAGCCTCTTTCAGTCCAACAGCAGTTAGACATTCCTCACAGGCACACTTTGGTCCACAGAAGATAATCCTAAGAGTACGAATTACTGGAGAATATTACCAACAGGTTTGCGTTAAAGGGCAAACTGAACGTTAAGAAACGTCTTTGGAAATCTGCATATGGTACTAAAACTAGAAAAACATCAACAGAAGCACTCTGTGGCTGAAGCAGGTGGGTGCAAGGGCAGCAGATCGCTGGTGTTCAAACAATTGKCTGTGAGCTGTGGGTGCTGGTGGCTGTGATGCCGCCAGTGACGGCCTGAGGGCGATGTGGACCCTGGCAATGGGGCCAGCTGGAATGGCCAAGGATGACCCTGGAGCAGCAGGGGAGCCAGCGTGCAGGGAGAGTGGAGCTGGGAATAGTGAAACTGGACCCTGTGCTGYCAGAGACACTGACAGGGTCACTCACAGGACAGCTGGAGAACCCTGAGGCAATCAGGGAAAAACAACTTGGAGGCTGGGATATAGCATCCCTTCTCCTTCTGCACTGTTGTGTTTGAGCAGGGCTGTTATTCATCATTCCATCTGTATTCTCCATCTGTATTCATTATTTCATTTGAGACTTACTGATAACTCCAAATTTAGAATAATCTATTCCATTTCTCCGATCATGAAGATTTACCTGTATTTCCCAAATGGATCTGAAATGAATGGTGTCTTTGCTTACTAACACTCATCTTCAACACCATGACAGTCTTTCATCCATCTTCACTTTCGTTTTTCTTATTTTATCTCCCCATTCTCTCAATTCCCATTCTAATCCATCACTGTCCTTTACCTCATTTCACAGAGGATTTTATTATTTCCATATTAGTTTTGGATCTAAACTACTCTGGTTTCTTCCCTCTTTGACTTTAAACTGAAAAAACATTTCTGTGGTGAACAGACAGAAAGCATTCCAGTGCAACTTTATCAGAATGCCCCCAGAAGTGAAAAATCCTTTCCCCTGTAACTTAGCCCACCTAACTCCAAGTCATCCAACCACCCAGACAAAACACAAGAAGTTTGACTGAAGCTGCAACCTGCTTGAAACACAACCAAGCTACATCAGATCAGCTGGACATGGAAAACTGTATTTGTACTCAGTGAAGCTACACTATCTTCCATCATCCATTTACAGTGCCTGGAAGGTCTTTAAACTCCTTATGTTTAAACTCTTGATGCATCTCTCATGATGGCAAGGAGATAGGATAACAGTGTAAGAACGTGGTGTAGTTTATTAGCAGAAAATGTGTCAACATCTAGTGGAACCAAATCAAAATTTCTGAAATCAAAATTAATTTGATTTTTCCTTTACCTGAAGTAACCTCTTCACGCAATCAGAGTGGCTGTTCTTTGCTGCAAGATGTAAAGCACTGTGTCCTAAATGAATAGAAACAAAGCAAATTAATTATTCAATCATGTCAAAACACAGGAGTAAACTCCTCCATGACAAGGGAAAATCCTGAATTACCCACTTTCTTCCTATCATGATACATAAAAAGTAAGGTTGGAGAAAATAAAATAAAACCCTACATCAAGCAGAATATCAGTCAATATAGACTGTTGTTCAGGCAGGTAACAGAATAATGTTAAAGTCTTGACTCATATAAAGCAGTGACACAAACACTGTGTCAGACTACACCTTGGCAGAAGTCCAAGATTGTACATTATGTCTTGTTTCTTAGAAAACAATATTCCAATATTGCTCAGCCTCCCTTGTACAGATGTCTGTCAGTGACTTCATGATTTCTGCTATTTGGCAATGAAAAGACAACCCAGTATCAAGAGCAAAGTCTGCCAAATTCACCAGCTACTGTTACATTAAATTTGCATCATCCATAAAGTGTACATAGAAGCCCTACTTTGGTATGCACCTCATACCAAAGGTGTGACTATTCCCTATCAAACACAGGTCTACATTGGGTTTGCATTTAGTTTCATTATTTAGCACCTCTGAGTTCACATTTAGATACACAGTGCCATAATTTATGACTATGGATTTACGATGAAAGGCTGAAGTTTCTCCTGCAGCTTCATCTTACAGATCATCTGAAAAATTGAAGATGACAAGACAGCAGAAGAACAAATTCTCCATGCATCTAAGAAGGCGGCAGGATTTAGTACTCAATAAGTACTAYAAAGTGTCAACAAAGACACTTGTGACAGGAAACTCTCACTGCAAATGATGTGACTTTTACAGAGCAGGATTTCACTGATGAGCACTGGGCCAATACCTTCAGGTGGAATCTGGCAGGCAACCTCTTACTATCCAAGAGACTGATAAATCACCAGGCAAGCAAGAGTTCTGAATAACAGTCTGCATATTCCCTTAAAATTACATAAAAGATGGATGCTTCTTCCAGTATCACAAACACTTCTTTGTAGAGGCAAACCATCCCTATGTATGACAGGAATTCCCTCAGGCTGCAACAAGTGGCCAAAACAGAACCCATGAGCCCAGCATTTACAGCTCATTACTGCAGAGATGGAATGCTGACAGCTCATCCAGGTGGCTCAGGTAGCCAGAGAAAATGCTGGGCACAGATTCCACTGATGTGTCAACTGAAATCTGTTAAAAAGAGTTTCTGTCTTTCAAATTCAGCTCACATCATTCTCCTAGTAGAGCAGTAATTAAGCTTGGAGACGTTTGAGAACTGAAGCATCATACTTAATAACTCTCAGCTCTGTTTTGGCCTGTATCAGCTGTTTTCACCATGTCATAAATCTGAGGAAATGTCTTACTGCAACTCTTGTAAAGTTAATGGGATTAATAGCTTGGATAAACATAAAAGCAACAGTGAAGATCTTGGTGCAACCTGTAATAACAAGAGCTGAAGGAGTAGAGTTCTTTTTTTTATCTTTTTTTCTTTTTTAACTGAAAAAAAAAATTTTAAAAGCCAAGCAACTATTTTACATCTGGAGTCCATTACAAATGTTAAAATTTGCAGTATTAGGACAAAAGTTTTTAAGGAATTTAGAATGTGAATTCTCAGTGTAGGAAAGTAAGCATGCCTAAACCCCTAAGTGTCACAACTGCTTTTCCTACACAGTGTATGGGGAAAAGCAAACTTGTCAAATCTGTAGTTTCACTCTGCACATCAAGAACTACATAAACAAATTGAGTGCATCATTCTGCTTGTATAGGTTCAGAGAGACATACCTGCACCATCTTGGGCTGCCACATCTGCACCATGTGTCACCATGATCCTGAGGCACTCTGCATGCCCTTTTGTGGCTGCCAGGTGAAAACTGGAAGAGAACATTTACAAATCAGTCTTTTTATTGTTATGATTTCTTTCCTCTTTCATCCACAAACCATATACAGGCAAATTCTTTCCTCCCTGTCCTTAGATCTTTTGACATCCCTCCACTGCCTCCCAGGGAGGTAAGAGATCTGGAAGCGAGATGGCACATCAAAAAGACTTTGTAGTCACACTTTCACATTGCACTTCAAATAACCTGTTCATTCTGGGACACGTCCAGAGAAGGGCAATGAGGCTGGCAAAGCATTTAGAGAGCAAGTTGTCTGAGGAGCAGCTCAGGGAGCTGGGGATTTCTATCCTGGAGGAAAGGAGGCTCCTGGAAGGAGGCTGTAGCCAGGTGGGAGTCAGAATTATGTTGCTGGGCTTCCGGTTGGACTGACCTCAGAGGCCTTTTCCAACCTGAACAACCCCATGACTCCATGATTTTACACAGATTCTGTCTCATTAAACCACATCATGCACCTTGACATGGGTATTATCCAGTTCCACACAATTTCTAAACTTATGTCCCATATGATGTAATACATACCCAAAGGGTGCCTAGGCTTGAGGAATTAATATGACAACAATCGGAATAACAGACTTTGCTCTAGTCATTTTAGTCAGAATAGTCAGATTTAGTTAGATTTAGTCAGATTTAGTTAGATTTTCCCCTTTCAGTGGACAAAATTTAGTTCCTCTAAAACAAGATTCTGTGATTCTTTAATTAGACTAAATCAAGAAGTGCTTCTGCACTGCCCTTTATAGAGCTCATCGTTCCTTCGTGTATGGGTGGGGGAAACTCTATGAGTATCACCCAGAGAAATCGAAGCTACTGGATATTTGTGAGACTATGCCAGAGATGCATTTCTTCCACATTTGGTTCTGCTGTTCACCCAAGCACCTGTTGTTAAACAGTGTGAAACTGCAGATTTTACCAACCACACCATGCACTTCCAAGTATCAATTACCTAAGATGTAATTACAGGACAAACCAAAGAAATTACACTGAATTCAATCCTTTCTACAGCTGAAATTGTATGTTTAAACAACCTCAGGCTGGGCACGGCAAGATTCACAGAAGGGGTGCTACAGAGATGCTGCTGACTTCATTTTGCCCTGCAGCAMAAATGAGAGAAAAGCTTCTGAAAACAGAGAGGTTTATATCCTCCTGATGCCAATGTCGTCTAGATATGGGCATGGGACAGGCAGACATCCTGCTGCCATGTGGGCCATACCAACATCAGCCTGAGCAGTTTTTCAGTGGGAATAATGTAAAACACAAATTCAAGACAAAACACTTCCAATTACTATTACACTGTGTGTGAAAAGTTAGGACCTTCATCAACATGCACCAAACTGAAAGAGCCAGGATTCCTGGGATGGTTTCTAGTATCTTTCAAAGGAGATGTDAATTTTTAACAGCATGCACCCCTGTGTAAAAGGGATTTTCCCCAGGAATCTAAAAGAAACATCATAAATCATGGAGCCACATCAACGACTGTATTTAGAACTCAATGTTTCGAACAACTGCTTCCTTTAAAGGGTTAGAGCTAACACTGAAAAGTTCAGCCTGCTAACCAGGGAAACTTGGAACAACAGGCAGGAATGAAATGGCTATTTCAGGCACAGAATCTGTGAATTGCAACACTGTTTTCCAGGTCATAGACTTCCTTGCAGCCTCCTTGAAAATTCAGCAGAGAAAGAGACCTACAGACAACACCTGGTAAAGAGAGGAGAATTAATCAAGGGAGGAGAGCTCCCGGAACAGAGTCCTCTATCAAGTACAGCAACCATCCCATTTCCTGCAAGGAGCCATTCCATCCACACTGGCTGCTGTGATTGCAAATTGCACACAGGCAGCGCTTAAGCTTTGACCCATTCTCTGAAAATATAAAAGCATTCTGTGTGTTCTGAATTCTGAATTCCTGCGAATTCCACTGCCACAAACAAACGGAAGAGTTAACACTTCCAAGAGTGCAAGAAGCCACTGCTGCTGTCTATTCCCTAGTCATTCAAAATCAAAACTTCATGTACTTGGTGACCAATGCAAAGTTGTGTAAACATTCTTCTCTAGAAGAAGTGGTTTCTCAGGCTCTGGGAAAATGACTGGGGGAGGGACACAAGAGGAGCCTGACAAATTCCAACACCTCTAATTTAGCCAGCACAACATACCAGCAAATACCCAAACATGTTCAGATTAATTTGTGTAAACACAAAATACAATCAAATTCACTTATATATTAGGAAGATTGCGAAGCACGCACTTGGCTAACTTATATTTGACAATATGCATAGTAATAATAAATACTTGAATAATAATAACTTGGCTAAATCTGGGGCACTGAGATTTTACGGACAGACTGTGTAGGACGGTGCCAAATGCAACATGAACACGCAAGTGCTAAAGAAGTTTTATTTAGGTAAAATCTGACTGCAAAAAAGTATCAGAGAAAAGGAAAGTTAACCCTTTTCAGGCTATGTGCCTAGGAGCACATGAATCCCACCAACAAAAAACAATTCCCATGGCAATTCTCAACAAGTCATGACACACGCAGATATTTTATTTCACAAATTGCTTCCTGTGTGTCTTGTCCCTGAGTCCTTGTACTGCTATMATCTCTCACATAAACCTATAGTGAAATATTTTTTGTTAACACTCTCAAAACCTCAGTTGGAGAGGAATCAGGGATATGGTTACTTAACTGCTGGTTTGGTAAACAGAAACCCTACTCAACAGAGAGGAGAATAACTCTAGGCTGGGATGGACCTATCACAGTTGTATTTAAGTCAAACTATTTWCAGAGTTTTGGGCAAAGCCTCCCTCTCAAGGAGCAATTCTGATTCTAAAGTTAATAGCCACTGCTTTGTTTTGTTTTGTTTTAATTAAAGAAGCCCAAACAAACAAAACACACAACCCAAAACAAACAAAGAAAWCCCCAAACCCAACACTTGAGTAGTAGATACTGAAGACTCTTATGTAGCAAGGGAGGCTCTTGAAACAAAGAAAACTGTAGGCGTTCATTTCAGTACAGAATAATTCTTTACAAGCTACATTATTTCCTCAAATATTTGAGTCAAAAGCTGCAGGTTTTCAAACACTGGCGTTCTCACCATCTGGATGCCTTAAGGAGTGGTGCRTTTTACTTACATCTTCCATGAATAAACTTTCCTTGATATGAAAGCAAACAACTTTTCCTCCCATTTCCTGCTTGTGCAATGACTTAGGTAAACAAAAACAAACATATAAAGCTTGATTTGGACCAAGGGCCACACTGAGCGCTGGATTCTCATTCAGCTGAAAACCCCATTACAATGTAGTTCATCTTCCCTTCACAACAGATAAGCCTGTTAGAGCCACATCTTGATAGCCCAGCCTGAATTGATTTGAAATAGATTTCTTGCATTGTTGTAAAACATTTCTATTCTTCCTGAGGGGCAGGATGGTCTTTTATTATTGTATCCAGACCTTTCAGTGTAGCAGAGGAGCAGCCACCATTCTCAGTGGTTTCCTTACTGGATTCAGAAATTAAGCAGGTCAGCGTTCAAAASCCCACCTCTGCAGCAAATGAAAACTCAACTGGCTGGCACTGCTTCTTCCTACTGGGAACGTACAGGTCTCGTAATTACTCAGTCCTTTATGGGATAAAGTGAAAACTTATGTTTATTGTGAGGAATGCAAAGCCTAGTTGGAGTAAACAGGCCTTGAGAGTGAACTCATTCCATGAGGTTCAGGGTCAGCTGGAGCACAGCTTCAAGGCTATCACCTCACACATCTTGTCAGGTCCTCAAATCTYTTGACCTGCAATGTTGCTCAGATAAAAACCCCACACTGATTGATGCTTTTCATTACGCTTGCTGACTGAACAGAGGGCACAGCTGTGTATGACATCCCTGAACCAGTCTGAAGCAGCAGATTTCTTACAGGTAGGAGATGCCAGCTGGTGAAACCCTTACAAGTGCCCTAAACAAGCCCATCCCTTAGCCAGGGCAGAGCACYTTGTCCACATTTTTGTTACAAAGCTAAGCCAGCAAGGGAACTAAGACTCCTTTAGCCAGCATCTGACAGACAAAGAGCAGGAGTTCGAGTAGAACCAGTCTTTGTCACAAGACCAAGAAAGAGTGTTTTCAGAAATCATTTAAATGTTAGTCTAAATCAAATGAAAAAGGACTGTAGCTTTTACTACCCAGCTCACTTAAACACTTATTTACAAATCATTACACCTTATGTAGAAGAACAGAAATAATCCATATTTAGGGGTTAGGCTTGAAAACTGTAGCTGAGGGCAGTTCTTAATGTGGTGTTAGCAGCTAGGCATGGGTCTGCTATATTCAGGTTCCCTACTTAACCATTTGCACAGCTAYTTCCTGCAAATCCTCTTACTGAATGTTATTTTGACAGCTGGCTTAAAACAACTGGGTGGTCCATATATCTGGGGGAAATGCCACAAAAGCAAAGTGGAACATGATAAAATCAGAGAAAATAAATRTCAAGTCTCAATTTGAGACAGTAACCTTCTAACAAGGAAATTTTCATCTGTGAAAAGAAAAACAGGGGGAAAAAAAGCAGAAAAATTACACCAAATCAGAGGTTCAGTCTCTGCTTGGCAAGGTCATGCTCCAGTTTTTTTTCTGGGCAGAATTAGCATTCTCTGCAACACAGATTTTCTCCAGGGCCTGAAAGTTAACACACTACTAACCAAAATCCAAAGCAAATAAAGAACATGGTTGAATTATGGATGCTAAGTGAATATTGTAYTTGCGATTTCCTATTATGACAAACRTGGAATCCAGTCAAACCTACATGCAAGAGCAGAATATGATTGTTCTCTGTCATTTTAATCTGAGTGCTCTGAAAATATTTTAAGTGCAAGAATGTTTGAAAAGCTGCATGAACTCATATACATTCATTGTCGAGTTTTATTTTGAGTAAAAACATCCCTCCCCAAGGCAGATCATTCTTCTTCATTTTCTAATGGATGTCAACCCTTTGTTGACTTTTCAGAA